AAAAAAAAAAAAAAAAAAAAAAAAAAAAAAAAAAAAAAAAAAAAAAAAAAAAAAGATACTTTTTTTATCTTCTTCCTCTCTTTAGTATCAAGTCATGTATCTAACTAATATAATGTTGAAAAATTCAATCATAGTGTTTCTTTAGTGGTTGAAAAAAAATATACTTTTGGTGGGGTCTTTTGTCACAACTAACTGTTCAGAAAATTGCCCATCTTTCTTTCTCTTTTATTATCCTTTTCTTTTGCCACTCAGATCAGAAATTGCATGGAGGGATGCAAAATATGCTCAAATATATGAGTACCTTCGAGAAGAGTACGAGGTCACCCAGCGCTTTGGAAATCTAGATTTCAAATTGAAGTTTGTGGAGGTAATATTGGTTTTATTTCATTCACATTCCTTCATACCGTTCTTTTTCTTTATGGTTGGGTCTCTTGATCATTCTTCACAAAAGCCAGGGTAATAGCCAAGATGAAACAAATAATTTCTTTCTTGGTCATATGTGAAGGCAAATGTGTTGAGAAGTCGTATAAGTTTTACCTCATAACGACTTTTCTATTTTATTTATTTACTACTCTTTTATAGTGGGCATGATCCATTGATTTAACAGAATTATAAATATAGGAGGTGACATGCATATGGAAGAAAAATTGCACAATTAATTCCACATACTAACTAGAATGAAAAGAGGGAAGAAAAATTGCACAAATAATTCCTACATACTAACTAGAATGAAAAGAGGTGCAGTTAAAATTCTTCACATTTTTGCTCTAATTAGAGCGTAAAAGTGTTCATGATATGACATAATGCCATGCTAGCAGTCGAATCTGTTCTTTATTGTTAGTGAGCTCAAGTAGTGTTAATGCACCTTAGACATGCAAGTCTTCCCAATTTGAGAGGGCAAGCTACTCAGTTGGAGAATCAATTCATAGTTTTCAGAGGAATGAAGTTTAATGCCCTGGTGAGAGCTTTCAATGGTTGTAGTTAACAAATCAGTTTAGAATATTTCCTTAAGAAATTGGCTCTCCTAAATTTTGTCCGAGTGTTAATTGTTTTTCCATCTGAAGTTTGTCCGGGTGGACCCGAAATAACTCGAATGAAGCAGCAGGTGGCAAGTTCCTTGTCCAAAAGCAGAGCTTAGAAAAATATAATCAACCTCCTCATTGTCATTTCCTTGCTTAAATCTTTCACCTGGATTCTTTCAATTTTTTAGTGTTCACTTGAATAAGCGTGTTTTTGTTTTCTGGAGAGGATATTTGTTGAGGTATCCTATATATATATATATTGAAGAGATAGAACAATGTTTATTTTGTTTTTTAATCGATTTGCATGTTCCTTGCAGCATAACATTCATTTTCTTCAAGAAGTCCTCCAGAATAGAAAGTCAGATCTCTTGGAATGGTGCATCATTGGCCTTTTGACCATTGAAAACATTATCTCATTGTACGAGATTGTTAAAGATTCAACTCCTGTGCATCTCTAATTCGACAAAGAGCAGCAGATCGAAGTTTCGCTGTGGAATTAGTTAAGTTAAAGTTTTGTTCATTGTACTAATTATTCTTTTCATATTCTGCTTTTCTTACATTATTACATTACAAAAGAGAGCCTTAGGAAAAATGTTGCCCAGAAGCACAAAAGTATAGTAACTCCAAGAAAGCGAGCTTCAGAAAAAAAAAAAAAAAAAAATCATATAAAAGTAGTGAATTGTGGAGAAATTCATTACTGTTTTGCTATAATTCCTTTTGTGAATAAGTAATGTGGCACATGTGGTCAATGAATTGTGAACTGTTGAAAAATCACAAAGAATATTCATTTTTGGGAATAGCTAGTGTTTGGCAAAATGCACAACTTGTTGATCTCTATATACACAGGAATTCTAAGTAGGGGTTCCATTTGTTTGATGGGAAGGATTTTCAAGGAATGAGCCATATAGATTCTTGTGTTTGTTTGGTGGAAATGAAGAACACTTGATGTATTCATATACTAGACTAGTGGTTATTGTAATTGTACTAATATTGCTTGTGGGCAGAGGTGAGCAGAAAGATGAACATTTTGGCCTTCGATTTCAGCTTCGAAATTTAGTCTATCAACCTCGTGTCGAGTTTTCTGATTGATTTGAAGTTGTATATTGAAGTATTTTTGTTTAGTTGCACTATATTTACAAATGATTCTTATAATAATAATTTTCTACTGCATATTTGGAGGATTTTTTTTTTTATTAATTACTTTGAAATTATTTTTTGATAATACATCTTTCAAATGTTTCTTTAATTTTCTTACAAATGTATTCAATTTTTGGAAGCTGATATATTATTAAGAATGAAAAGAAAAAAAAAAAAAGAAAAGAAACTCTTCCTTGATCATTAAATTATATTAGTAGGACTAAAGTGTGTTGGTTTGGATATAATGAATAATAAGTGAAGCTTAGGGCATTGATTTCTAACTTGATCTTAAGAGTTATCCATATAAAACTTGGTTGTTTTCTAAAAATGTAAGTGTGGGACGTGCATATTTTTGTTTTTGTTTTTCATTTTGAAATAACGTCAGTCACCTCCGAGTATGTTACGTCTTTACTTTATTTCCAACACCAAAAAGAAAATATCTTTGTCCAACACCAAAAAGAAAATATCTTCGTCGTTGGTGCAACTTTAATATGAGTAAATGTTGACAAGAGTGTCTAAAATAATAGAAAATATAATAGGAAATGATCCCATTATTAAGTTCTAGTGAGTGTGGAGGCCAAAAATTTCTCGGCTTGATCATAAAACATTTCAAACAATCAACCGTTAGATCTCCATGTTAAACCTAAAATAGATCATATCTGTATATACTAAGATAATTTAGGATTTACTAGTTTGTTACCAAATCTATGATTTGAAGGGTTTGTTACCAAATCTATGATTTCATGGTTTGTTATCAAATCATAGATTTGGAATGTAATCTTCATTATACACATCTATAAATACATGAGGTCGTGACCCATATAGGTTATCGTGCCATTCAATCTAACACTCCACAACTATAACTATGGATAATCACAATGTTTTATTGAAACTAAACAAACTAAACAAAAAAGTTTATAAGGCCACAATTTATCTAATAGATTTTTAATCTTTAAATTTATCTAACAAATTTATAAACTTCCAATTTTATATTAATACAGTTCTTAACATTTCTTAAAATTTACCACAAAATTTAAAATATCATATCTTACCCATACAATTCAATTTCAATTTTTTTTAAATGTTAAATTTGTCAAGAATGTATTAGACAAAATTAAAAGTCGAGAAGTATGACATTTTTTTTAACTTTTTAAGATGTAAAAATAAAATTTAAGATTTAAAAGACTGATATTTTTAAACTTTTAGTAGGATGCATGACAAGCAAAATTAAAAGCTAAAAGAATCTAACAAGGCCAGTCCTGCAAAATTTGAAGGATGAGAGAGGATTGTTTCAGCTTTGATCCTTAATCCTTCACTTGATCGATTCCTTAACTCTGAGAAGACTCAGTGTGCAATTCCCAGAACCAATCATAGAGGCAAATAGAATGAACTATTTCTTTACATAATCACTCAATTCTCGAACTTTTTTCGAATACTTTCTTCGTAAACAGAAAATATCATCTCCTTATACTTATTTTCTACAAACAAAAATGAACTCTTTTAAGAATGAAAACCCAAATGCACGAGCAATTCAACTAATTAAATTATACTCTCATTCCCAAGCCTACGTACCAAATTAAACTTGGCATTTGGGTTGACATTGGCGCGGATCAACTCGTAACGTCATGCATGTCAGCTACAGGCAGGCATCAGCGATGGAGTCGGAGACGAAATAGCAGAATCGCAAGCCTGGCTACAGTAAATAGAAACATCAACACTTACAAGAGCAGATTGATGAACTCCATGAATATAACTAAACCTCGATTGTGCGAAATCCAGCTAATATTGCTATTCACAAAACTTGATTGTATTATATGACACAAACAGCAATTTAGCGCTGGCCTTCGTAGGAAAATAATACAATCACATGCGTGCTTTTTGCTGGTGGAAGGATCCATCTAATAACAGATTCTTTGTAGACAAGTTGTCATCCACAGCATCCCCATGTCGTTTAAGGCCATATTCATATGATTAAGCAATCAGGTGAGGCTATTACTCCCTCGTATCTTCTTCGTTTTGATACCAATCAATCCGAATGCAACCGAAAAAAAATTAGGTTTGGGGAAAGATTCAGCTTCCCTGCAATATTGAAGATGAGTATAGTGTCGATGAAGGCGCATAATACACGACAACGGTCGGAACATACCTTCATGTTTCTCAACCTCTTTTAACAAGATTTTCTTTTATCAACCTTTAAATGGATATTGAACCATTTTTTCTTCTTGGGTCTATCCCTTGTAGATTTCCTCTCCCTTATTTGGCTGTCTTCTTTTGATTCCCTAACCAAACCCCTAATCCGGTTCCTACTCCGTTTTACTGGAGGACTAGTTGTGTAGGAGGCATGAATTTCATTCCTCTGTTTGAGAAGGTCGTCGATCTGTGGATAAAAGGAGCCAGAGCAGTCAGTCGTAAAGAAGCTATCATTTCGACAGATAAAAGACGGGTTATAACTTCGAGTTAAACTTACCACTTGCATTTCTTGAGTGTATCTGCTAGTCATCTCTGTAAATTGTGCTAGAACCTATCGACATTTCCAGTAACTATCAGTACGCTTTCATATAGTAACAGAATACAGAGCTCAATTGTTAAATACTAGACCTCACGATATTCCGTTTCAAATTTGGACATTTCCACCCTTTTTGTCAAAATTTGAGCTTCCACGGCTCTAAGATTCTCCTTCTCTTCAGAAAAAGACGCCGCAGAAAATACCTCCATAGTATAGCTCGCACTTTTAAAAAAATTGTCACCTAGATAACGTAATGGTCATCAGGTCCACATACAAGCATTTTGAAATAAGAAATATTGTATTCCAGTACTCGGTAATTGAATATCAAAACATATTCAAATTTACCATAGACTGCAAAGACATGAGTCCCCGCCTTTAATTCTATTATTTCACATGGCTGGAAACCATCTAATTTTTTAAAAAAGGCAGCATCTGGATCCTTAGCAGAGATCATCTGAAAAGATCAATAAAATCCTAATGAGCACAATATTATGTTGTTTAAGAAGTTGAGCATTATTCAAGTTGATCCTTATTCCATAGTTTTAGTTCTTTTGAAAGATGGGTGCATTCGTATTATTCCAGTTTTCTGTTTTTTCTCACATTTATATTTGCAAATTGAAACGTGATCTAGAGGGTCGCTGTAGTTCAGATGGTATGGAAACCTAATTCAAATGATTTCTTATCTATAAGGTGGCTTTCAGAAGCAAACTTTTTTCATTTTAAAAGTAAAAATATTGGACAGAAATGGTTATCAAATGTATTTATGTTTCTTGTTTGAATGAAAACAGATTCTAGGAAATGGGCATCAAACATATTTTTAATTTTTCTTTTGATGTGCAAGTAGATAACAAAAAATGATGTTAAACTTGAAATCAGCAATTAATTTAGAGTTGGCGCACCGAGTTCAATGTTTGTTCCAACCGATAGACAGGGAACCCGAGAAAATACATCCCAGCAGACGTGACTTTTCCAACCTTTGTACTCTCCTCCTACAAATATAACAAGAATTCAAATATATCAATTACTGAGCTTTGAAGGCAAAAATTTAAAAGGTTCATTGATGGTCAAGCAGAAGATATAAACATAAATGGGGTGTTTCAACATGCATTCATAAGAATCACTATCAAATTAAAGAATATAAAATAAAGTCTCCAAAATTATACATACAAAAAATTATCAGGGTGCGAACTACTCATGCATATAAACTCACATTTTCTGTCTAGATAGACATTGTAAAACCTCAAGTCTCAAATTATATCACAAAACTAAAAAAAAATAAAATTATTATGCAGTAATATATAATTAACTGGAGAACAGATTACAAGTGAATTATCAATATATGCATGATCACTCCAACTGCCAGATGTTGCCCACAAAGACATTAGGTTATAGAACGAAAAACTATATTACGTAATAATCTGCTGAGCAGTTTAGTTATGTAGCATACCAAAAAGATGAAAAAGGCTATGATACAAGATTGAGCAATACCTGTAAAGCAAGGTTTAATCCACCAGTTTCTTCCCGATCAAAATACAACAACTACATCAAAAAAATGAATGAGAAATTTACAAAAGAAATTATGCACGATGAAGTGGAATTCTAATTTCAAGCTTTTGTCCTTAACTTTTGTTGTAGTCATTGTGCGGTTGAAATAGTAATAAAACCATGTAATTTAGTAATCATAAAAGTGGAAGGGAGGAAATTTTGCAAGAACATGAAATCCGATATAATCATGGTTTATGAAGAAAAATATTCTCGGACATGTTCTCGCACAAACACCAATTACATTCCAGAGAGTCATAGTCGAACCTTAAATTTGCTTTTATCGGGTGAGTGAACTCGGCAAACAAATCCACCCTGTGTTTCCTCTTCACTTATCATAACAGAATAAAAGTGTGCACACTGTTTCTCAACCTGTAAAAAATTAAAGAATCCTAAATCAGCAAACCAATAAATGGCTTCATTTGGTAACAATTTCATTTTGAGTTTTCCAATATTAAAATTTATGTTTGCTTCTCACAATTTTTTGGGTATGCATTCCCTTTTCTTTAAAACACATTTTAGTTCTTAACAAAAAAAAAGTTCTAAAATTACAACCCCCTTCAATAACTATTTGGTTTTTTGTTTTTTATTTTTTATTTTGAAAATTAAGCCTATACTGCCACCTATGGGTTTTCTTGTTCTGTTATCTACTTTTTACATATATTTTCAAAAACCGAGTCAGTTTTGGAAACTAGAAAAAGTAGTTTTAAAATCTTGTTTTTGGAATTTGGATAAGAATTAACCATATGGTTATCAAATGAGCTATTTTTTTGTCTTCAAAATTTCCCTTAGATTTTGAAAACATTTTTAAAAACTAGAAATTAAAACAATGCAACATATAGGTGAAAGTAATGTTCAAAAGGTGAAGAAAGTAGTCTTTATAAGCTTAATTTAAAAAAAAAAAGAAGTTATCAAATGAGGCCAAATGAATGACAAATATTAGGTACAACAGTGCACCTTCTTAGAAATAGGTATGCCCAATGGAAG